GGAAGAAAGAGATTCAACTGGAAAGATTAAGTCATGCAAAATGCATGATTTAATTCATGATCTTGCCACTTACAATTCAAAATCTGAAACACTTATTTTGAAAGCTGGTTCAGAGAGCAACATTGCACATGTTCGGCATTTGAATCTCGTTGATGCTGAGGAGATGGTGCCAGCAAATTTTGTGGAGGTCGCTGGGAAACTACATTCCTTATTTCTTAAAGGTGATATTTTGGGCAAGATGCCAGATAGCTTCAAAAGGTTACGCATTCTTAGCTTTGAAACAGGTAGCCTTTGGAGAATTGATATTGGGCAGTTGCCAACTTGGATCGGCAAGATGAAGCATTTGAGGTATCTAGACATTTCATTCTCTAAAATTAAAGAACTACCCCAGTTTATCATGGAGTTGTATAGTTTGCAGACACTGAGGTTCATGTATTGTTCTCGGATTGTAAAACAGCCAGAAGGGGTGGAAAACTTAGTCAGCTTGAGACACATTTATTTCAATATAGACAGCTGTATGCCACTCAGAATTGGTAGGCTAAAGGATCTTCAAACATTGCAGTTATTTGTTGTCGGTCTACAAGAGGGAAGTCGAATTGAGGAATTGGGATGCTTGAGCCAACTTGGAGGTGAATTAAGGATACGTCATCTAGAGAATGTTGAAAACTACTCAGAAGCCGAGAAAGCAAAACTTTCGGAAAAGATTGGACTTCATGAGTTGAGATTGGAGTGGACAGATAGAAATACAGAAGAATGTAATCATGATGAAGATGTGTTAGCAGGCCTCAAACCTTCCCCAAATTTGAGAAACTTAACTATAGAATGTTATGGAGGTAAAAAATGTCCATCATGGATGGAGCCTAGTTTGAGTGAATCATTTTCGCTCACCAATTTGGTGGACTTGAAAATCTTAAAATGTAAAAAGTTGAAAAGCATGCCAATAATGAGCGGGTTATCATCTCTTCAACAACTTCGAATTCAAAATTGCCTTGAATTAACCAGAATCGGAGATGGAGCATTTGCCTTTCCAGCGTCCCTCAAACAACTGTGCATTCGGTCATGTCCAAGATTGGAAACAATTGGGGATGGTATTTCGACCCTCACATGCCTAGATGAGTTAGATCTATCTGGATGTGAAGATCTGAGGCTCATTCCAATCATGAGTGGGTTATCATCTCTTCAACAGCTTCGAATTCAAGATTGCCTTGAATTAACCAGAATCGGAGATGGAGCATTTGCCTTTCCGGCGTCTCTCAGACAACTACGCATTGGGTCATGTCCAAGATTGGAAACAATTGGGGAAAGTATTTCGACCCTCACATGCCTAGAACAGTTATATCTATCTAAATGTGAAGATCTGAGGCCCATTCCAAGTGTAAATGGGCTTTCCTCTCTAAGAAAGTTACAGATTGACAATTGCAGTTCAGTGGTGAGTCTACCAAATGGACTGTCCTCCTGCACTGCTCTTAAACAATTGATCATAAGTGACTGCCATAATCTGATCTCCATCTCAGAAGACTTGAAGGATTTGCATTCTCTGGTTGATTTATGTATTTTGAAATGTGAAAATTTGAGTAGTATTCCGGAGGAGAGCTTCAGCTGTCTTGTCTGCTTGGAGTGTTTGGTAATTGGTGGTTTCTCAAAAGAGTTGGAGGAATTCCCATATCTTAATTCCATCCACCACCTCCACGCCTCCCTTCAAAAATTATGCTTGTTTGGGTGGGAAAAACTAACATATCTACCACCTCAAATTCAACACCTCACTTTTCTAAGGATATTGAGTATATATTATTTCAATCAAGTGGAAGCTTTGCCGGAGTGGTTGGGAAGCTTGTCATCTCTTCAAGCTCTCTGGATTTACGGCTGCACAAATTTGAAATATCTGCCTTCTGCACAAGCCATGCAACGCCTCTCCATGTTGCAGTGTCTTCGAATTTTTGAATGTCCAGAGCTAAAAGAAAGATGCGCAAAGGAAACCGGCCCTGAATGGTTCAAAATTTCTCACATTCCAAACATCCAAAGAGGAATGGTTCAAAATTTCTCACATTCCAAACATCCAAATAGATTATGAGCGCATCCAAGGACATTGAGCCCTTTTTCTGAGGTATATTTAAATTTCTCAATCCTCAACTTCTCTTCTTCCTTATAATAAATTCCACCACTAATTTTGCTTCTTTCATCAATTCAGACTTAAAAGCAACAACAAAAGTCAAATTTATCAATTCAGAGGGTCACTTATGGCTGCTTCAATTCTCTTAACCTACAATGCTTGTGAAAATTTTTTAAAAGGTAATTTCTTATTACTCCAACTCTTTTCCATATAAGAATTCTTTTAGAAGCTTGTTTGGTTTATGGGGAGGGGATAAAATTCCCCATTTGGGCAACAAAAATTGGAGGGGAGGGAATGAGAGAGAGGATTTACCTTTAATTTCCTTTATAATTTTAGTATAACTTAATGAAAAAGGGAGAAGCAAGCAAGAGGGAGGGAAATGGAAGGATGTTATGGCGCCTCCATTCCCCTCAAACCAAACAAGGGTAGGAATTTCTCATTATTCACAATGTATAATAAATGATTCCTATGGTTTGAAAGAATTGAAAATGGGTGGTTTTCTCGAACTATTTATGTACATAGATGTTGAGTCTACTGGAAGTGTTTGTCTACGATTGAGTCTGCATCTTTGTATACATGTATATGCATAGGTCACTGGTTTACAGGTGCCTAAGAAATCCTCATCAATCTAGTAAGTTCTTAGAACTTGTAGCATGGTCTTTGAGTTGGGTTTTATGAACTAGCTTCAAAATTTTTATCATACAACTTGTTAGTGTAAGTATCCAATAGGAGTAGGGTCTTAAATTATTTGAAGCAATCCATTTATGGCAGTATCAGATGCAGAGTAGCTTCTAGCTCTCATAAATATATAATTAAGTATAATTTTCTCATTCCTTAAGCAATTGAAATGAATATGATTCTTGTCCCCTGCTTCTAATTTTTCATTGTAAAAGATAGTTTTTTGTTGTCTGTTACTATACTAATTATTTGATTTTTCCTGTTTTACTGCAAAAACTGAACTTTGATTAATATTGGTTAACTTTACTACCTTGCGAAATGTGGTGTTCAGTTATTTGAATTAATTGTAGAAGGAAATAATCAAAGTAATGATGAGGGTTTACTAGGTTTTATGTTATTTTCTAGGGATTCCTATGCACAAGCTCTTGCTGGTTATTTTTATGATATTGTTTTGAACAGCAGCATCTTGAATGTTAAGGATTTTGATTATAAGAGAGTTCTACGAAGGGGAAGCTTTGACACAATTGTTGGAGAACTTGTTCATTATTGGAAGACCACATTTCTAGTCAAAATCTGAAATAATTGCCTTCTACTGGAGCCATGCAATGCCAAGAGGTACT